GAAGCAATCTAAGAAAAATATTTCGTATAAGGCTGTACTAGCAACATTTGTATCTTCGATTTTAGAAATAGCCACTTAGTTCTAAACGAATCGTTCGAAAAGTTTAATGAAATAAGAATAATGATGACATCATTCTCGTTTAACTCGTTCGACTTTATGAACATACCCTTAGTAAACTTACAATACAATATCCTTAGCTATACATGGTATGTAGACGATATTTTGATTATATGGAAAACCAAACCTGATATAGGGTAAGTGTTAAAAGTTTTTAACAAAAGTGTCTACGGCCTAACACTAGAGTTAGATCAGGAAAGTCACACAGAAGTTAATTACTTAGATGTCAAGATTTGTATGGCAAATAAAAATACAGTGGAACCTCAGTATATGACCTTAATCCATTCCTGATGTTTGGACTTATACCGAATAGGACGTATACCAAACAAACCTTTCCCATAAGAAGTAATGTAAAAATGATTAATCCGTTTTCATTTTAAAAAAATGGCTAGCTTTAAACACCTCGCTTTCCTGGCTAGTTCCTGCTTGATTTTTCATGAGATCAGCATGTATCTTTTTAGCTTTCTCACAAATAATTGCTTCTGATACGCTGTCTCTAGCACACTGTTTTTCAGTTATCCAAAGCAAAAGCAATTTCTCAACATGATCTAATGTCTTTGATCTCTGTTTAGAAATTGATTTAACCCCTATCGCAACGTTAACAGATTTAATAATGTCTTTATTTTTTAATGATTGTCGATATCATCATTCTCGAAATACATATGTAACAGTTAAATCTCGAACACGCATGCCACCTTCATATTTCTCAACAATCTCTTTTTTCAGTTCCATTGTGATTCTAGTCATTTTTTTTAGTTTTCTGTTGCTTTTCATTTGTCTTTTTGCAATTCGTGATTAATAAAAATAATAAAACTTTACTTACAAATTAAAATCAGAAGAAATTTAACAAAGTTATAAACCGTGGCACCGTGAACGTCTAGTCTGGTCTAGTACACCGACAGTGCTACTTGTTCATAGATGGCGCATATAATTGAATTAAGTCGTATACCAAGCAAAATTTGTTTCATCCAAACAGGATGTATTCTAAAGCAGACGTATACCGAGGTACCACTGTATAACCATGTCTATTTACCACAAACATTCCTCTTTTCATTCCTGCTAACTCAGTGTATCCTTGGCCATTTAAGGTAGCGACATTCTGGGCCCTAGTCTCAAGGGCTTACTCCCATTGCTCGGAAACTTCCAATATCCACAACAAACTGAAACGTCAAGTGTATAGCATCTGCACACGGGTACCAACAATCCGTAACAGGCTCACTGTCAACCAGCTATCTACGATAACTACCACCAACATGAGGGTTAATAATGCAGAGCACAATCAGGTTGTTATACCTTATGAACTGTCCCTCCAACAAATTTGTAATAGAATTGCTAAGGATTTAAACTTGCGCTTAACTTATAAGAGAAAACAGAACAGTTTTCGGCTCTTATCTAATGCAAGACAAGAGCCAAAAAATGATGCTTTCTTGTCATCTAATCTGATGACAAGAAAGCATAGGAGCGTACCGTATTCCATTGCAAGACGAACATTTCAATAGACGTATAACACACATCAGATCCATGTACAGATCACTAGAAGCTAGAATACAGGACCACAAATATGATGTGTCCAACGGGAAGTATAATACTGCACTAGCCCAGTATGCTACACAACCTGGGGTTTCTCTGCGTTGGGATGAAGCTACTCTTTTATACAGGGTTTTTGACCGACACGACTTATGTTTGTTGGAGGCTCTTGAAATTTATATAGCGAGCATGAAGGGAAGTTGCATTAACTCCGATTATATTCCGGTTCCACAATCATGGAAGTATTATTTACATTGCCACAAAGCACAACAATAATTGTATATGTAATTATTTTTTCATCTTTCTGCTTTGTAAAAGAAAACAATTTCCACATCGTTTACATTGTGCTAATTTTTACAACGCTATAATAATAATAATTTATAGCTTTATTTAAAAATAATTAATTTTTATGTTGTAAACGTAACAATTTTTATATCGTATGGTACATTGTTTAAATATTTAAAAATTTGGAACACATCTGTATTCAATGGTTAGAAGTTTTCAACTGATAGCAATGTATGAAACACAAAAACAGTTCTGAGGAGGGCCTCTAAAAGATGGCCGAAAACATTCAAACATTAAAATTTTGATCAATTACTGCTGAAACTAGCATTTAGGTGTGAATTTTTGTGTTTAGAGACAAGTTTTCCACTCTTGAGAAGTTGGGAATCTATGCTGTTCCACTGGAAAATCTTGCAATGGGAGTAAACACAAGATATATCAGGGTCACTACTAGAATGCTCGCCAGCCACCTTGCAGAGCACCGAGAGGATGTTGTGAGGGGTAGGCACACCACAGAGCTTAAAAAAAGGTACTCGAGCAGGGTTACAACCCACTATGGTTCCAAACAATTATGCTCAAGAGATGTAAAGATCGAAAAATTGTTTTCATATGGGAATCTCTCCTTACTACCACCTTGGATGAATGCAACACTCCTACCCTCGATCTACCTACTGTATGAGTCTTGCTGTATAAGCAATTAAGCAACTATTAGCATTCTCCAGTATATGTATAGCATGAGCCTAGATCTGCGCGCGTGTCACTTCAAACATCATGGAATTTACTGCTTGGTCAGTTTTCAAACATATTTGAATATTTGTTTCATGTTCTTAACGACTTTGACAAAAGTTTCAACTTAAATTTTAAGTGTTCTATTCTACATTGGATTATTTCTGTTTAACTTCTTGGTAAATTTCCGAATTTGCCTGATGATGGCTATAGGTTCATCGAAAGTGTTTGCAATAAAAAACGTACATGTACTGCTGACCTCACTGCCTTCTCCATTTTTGATGATCAAGAGACTATAAAGATATAAACCCATGTCTCAATGTCACAAGGGAAAAGACTTCCACCAAGATCTGTCCTGGTAATTGAGTGGTCAACTTGGTCAACTCTTGGTGTTCCTAGCAACCAATGACTACCCAGTGAACTATGATCCTGCCATTTCCCTTTCAGCATCAACACATTGTCCAACCTGCTGGTCAATGAAACATCTAGAAAGACATCACCTTATCTAGAGCTTTTGTTGGAAAAAAAAAAAATGGATTTGTGTTAACTTATGACAAGATCATGAAAGGAAATCATTCTCTGCAATAAATGGGTTACTACTGAAATGGAGTCTTTCTTCAGTGTCCACTACTAACTACATATGACATCTCATTCCTATCATCATCTGAGCTAGTACCACATATTGGCAATGTCACACTATATTTAGTCCATGAACCAAATGTATCCTTTGTTTTCCCCAATCTTTAACAAATTCCACAACATGAGTATAAAATCTACTGATGTATATGCTTTACAAAAATTGACTTGCATCTGAAATAGTTTCCTCTTTTTCAGTCCAGAATAAAAGTCTCTTGCAAAGAATCAATGAAAAATCCTTATCAGTAGTGTTGAATAGAGATATCCTTCCATAATTACTGAGGTTATACTATATTACAGTAGAGCCTCGATTATTCGACCCTCGATTAACTGACCGTCCTAGTCGGCAAATTTCAAATGTCCACTAGTGATGTGGCGCTACAATATTTGGCTATGTCTTGGCTACTTTAATATTATTTTTATGTGTTTTAGCTGGCAACACTCATTCGACCATGAAAGGGAGCCAGTATTTAAACGAGGCTTAATTTTCTAATTTTTAACGATACAATAGCGACGATTATTATTTTAAAAAATTTTTGTTAGGCTTAACATCGATGAAAATTCAACGCGAAGTAGGTTAATAGCGATATACTAATATACTAATTACATGGGATATAATAATATACTACACTAATAATGGATTTTTTCATACTTTTCGGTTATCCGACTTTTCAATTATCCGACCAACCCCAGTCCCCAATTGGGTCGGATAATCAAGGCTCTACTGTATTTACATCTGACTTAAAAATTGAAATTTGGGCTATTTTCCAACTTTCCAGATAATTTATTTGAAATATTAAAGACAGAACAAAAGTATTTTTAATGGCAGTCAGTCATCTGCCAACTTTTAGCATTCTATGGGAATACTATCTGGAATTAACATGCAGAATGAACTTAACAGAATTAGGTAAATTATTACTGTAGCTTTGCATTTCAGTTAGACTGTAAACTACTTTTTACATCAGAGAAAATCCTTATGATTTCTTAACTATTTTCTATGCTACATACCATGTTTCCCCGAAAATAAGACAGTGTCTTATATTAATTTTTGCTCTGAAAAATGTGCTAGGTCTTATTTTCAGGGAATGTCTTATTTTTTCCAGGAAGAAGAATTCACATTTATTATTGAACAAAAAATTCCCAAGTCGAACTTAGGCAAGAGTGATGTATATCCGGTGTGTCGAACTGTCGCCTTTTTATAGCGTCAACATCGAACTCGATGACCAATTAGTGCTTACTGAACTGTAGCACTATGCAAATGTCATGTGGCATGATTCCCGGCTGACCAATTAGCCATCACCAGCCGTAACGTTATGCAAATCTGTGATTCCCAAGCCATGTCTTATGCAAATCATGCCGTGTGGCGTAATTGTCTGCTGACCAATCAGTGGCTGTACTTTCAAAAAGCCAACGGCCACTTTCAACCATCCGTCGATGACCGTTACGACTAAAAAAAACTTCGCTAGGTCTTATTTTCAGGGGGAGGTCTTATATTTTGCAATTCAGCAAAATCTGTGTTAGGTCTTATTTTCTGCGGATGTCTTATTATCGGGGAAACACAGTAATTATTGATATCATCATTTATATTTTTTAAAAAATTTTCTATATTAAAATTCAATACCATTACTATTAATATTGATATGATTACGTTATCTTAAAACAAACACCTTTCCTTTGTTTATTTTTTTTATTAAAATAAAACTTAAACTCACAAACAAATCTCGTTCACGAACAATCTCCCACATCTTCTTCACTATATCTGATCGAGCCATCTATAAAAGCATAAAATTAGCATATTTTATAATACAATTTTAGAATCAAATAATAATAATCTTAATAGAAATTTTCTAAAATATTTTATGTAATTTCTCAAAAATAAAACAATTGAAATTAATCAATTATTTTTGTTTTCTAAGCTTGATATCTCTGTTAATGATGTTGATAGAGTAGGTGAAAGCTCTTTTGACTAGGACTGTAGGCAGACATTTTAAGTAAATAAAGGTCTCTAGATTAGTGGTTTGCACTCTGGGTTTTCTGTAAACTTTAGTCAAAATGTGACAATCATTGAGTGTGAGATGTCAGAAAATAAACTTGATGGTTGCTTTGTTGATCAACACTGAAATGGACGCCTTAGGGGTTGTTGATGACTGAAGAACATCATAATTCAGTTTGTCACTGGATTATGAAAACATCATTGACATAATGGGTGTAAAGAATGATTTGATCATTAAAAGATGGGAGAACCTCTTTTTCAATGTGATAAAGAACTAGTTCACAAAGGCTGCCATATATCAGGATGCCCATTGAGATACTTCTGCTTTGTAGTAAGCTACCCTTTGAAATTGGAAGAACAAAAAATAAATAATGTCCACTAGTTTCTAGATACTGTGATGATGATTGTGCGATTCAAAGATATGTTTAAACAGAAAGTCCTAAAGTTTGCAAAAACAGGGTTCATTCTTAAGTGAAGGATAGAGATTCGAAACCACACAAAGTAAGGAATTCTTCATTGACCAAGATGTTGGCATTAATGATGAAAGGGATGAAGTGATTGGATATTCTCAATTTTTATAGAGAAAGAAGCATATTTGTCCACACTGAACATAGTTGACTGCCCAGTTTATGAATTTTGACAAATGTAAAGATCTGACCAACTGCTTCTAAGTCACCTTGGTGGATTGTTCATGTGTCACATTGCCACAAATTAAATGAAATCAAACTGCCATTCTAATGTCTTATGCTGTTTTCCATCACATAGAATCTTGTGATATTGTGAATTCCTGGTATTTGTGTTGGAAATTTTTGATATGATATGTGTTCTATCCCTATTTTCATGTATTGCAAGTGCATGTCACCCTTTACTTATCCTGCAAAAGTTTAAATGGATTCTTTGCTTTCAGCACTCCAGAGATCATCACTAGTTGGTCAAGTTACCTTATGACCACCCTGTATATACAGTTTAACCCAATTATAACGACATCGGATGTAACGACAACCCTAATATAACATCAAATTTTTAAATCGGTCCCACAATTTTACAATACTAGATAATGTTAAAAAACCCACTTGTAACGACATAAAACCCTGTTTTAACGTCATATTTGAAGCACTCTTAAATTTACAAAATTAAATTATAAATTTTATTTATCAAAGAAAATACTACGTATTCAGTCCTAGGGTCAGAGTCCGCTTCCTACAACGATTGTGGGTGGTACTGTCACCACCTGATTCGGTGGGGTGAGATGCGCCACCCCTTTAAACGATGTGACAGTGGGTTAGTCTGCATAGCTCTCATACTCATGTTGTAGTTTAACATCAAATCAGGTAAAATGGCTAGCTTAAAAAGGAAAGCGTTAACGTTAGACTGCAAAGTAGAAATAATTAAAGCAGTTAAAAGTGGAAAAAAAAAGGCAGATGTATGCAGAGACTTTGATTTAGCAAATTCTACAGGTCTCGTAAAACTTCATCGGAAATAATGAACAAAATCTACGACTTAGAAAATGACATTGATAAACAATTTTTAGGTGAAAAATGCCTACAATCTAATCTAAAATAACCGACCTTTTNTGGTTGGTGTGATAGCATGTTCCATCTAAGTTATAACAGTTTCTGACCAGTTACCAAACTTGTGTGAAATTTGACATTATCATGGTAAAACACTACACCTGTTTTGTTGATCAATTCTGGCCGCCTTTTCTGTTTGATGATATTACTCAATTTGTTTACTTGATGGCAGTACACTTTTGAATCAATTGTTAAATTGTCTGGTAAAAGCTCCAAAAAAAAAAATTTCCTTAAAATCCCACCAAAGATAGCATATCACCTTAAGAACATGTGGAACGCGTATATCAAGCTTTGAAACAAAACCAATTCGTTTCAAGTAATCATAAACAGTTCAATTTGACAAATTTAATCTCTTAGCGATTTCACGTGTTGTTATTCGGCAGTTTGCTTCAATCAGTACCTTTATTTTGTTTTCACTGGCTTCAACTGCCCATACGGAACGTGGTGCATCTTCAATATTGAAATTGCCAGAACGAAATTTTGTAAACCAGTTTTGGCAAGAATGAAATTTCGTAAACCAGTCGTCCTGTCAATACATCTTCTCCATACATGTCTCACAACTTTTTTCTCACTTGAACAGCATTCTTACCTTTTCAGTAATAAAAGAGCAAAATATGCCGAAAATGCTGCTTTCAATCTTCCATATTTGATGGGACACAAAAAATAAAAATTGCACAAAATCAAACAAAATTTTTTACATATAAGCCTTAAAATGCTAGCTTTCAAAATATATAACGATAATATGGTTTAGAATAAAAATAGCAGGAAAAATACCACTAATCCGTCTAGAGGTAAAAAAACGAAATTACTTTCCAAACAACCTAATACTTTTAAATATTCAAATAAACTCACTCAGCAAAGTGCAAACCACAATACAACACCTTAAGTTGCTGAGAAAAACTACATTGGTGTTACTACAAGAAATTCGGGAGTCAGACTGAGAGAGCACAAATACAATGCCAGTAAGGGATCCAATGCCACAATACTATCTCAGGTAGCGCAGGCTGATGGCCCCATAGTAAAACGGGAGGAAGCAAATATTGTTAAGCCTGTGCACGCTCCGACTTTAGTGATGAGCACAGAAAAGATTGAAATTTATAAATGCAAGCTGAATGATGCTAAGGATGCTGAAGGGTTACCATCTGTGTGGAAGTACTTAATTAAAAAGTTTGAAAGCTCATAATTTATGCCTTTATTTTTTGTTTATGCATTTCTTGCATTTTTTTTGTATATTATATACGATATTATTATATAATGTTGTAATACTTTGTTATTTAATTTTATTTATCTTATACGTGTATTTATATACTGTATGTATAGTTTGTTATAATATTTTAATTTTTTATACATGTATAAAAAATTTCTGCATGCAACATTTTATGTTATATTTCTTGCATTTTTTTTGTATATTATATACGATATTATTATATAATGTTGTAATACTTTGTTATTTAATTCTTACACATGTGTTTATGTATGTATAGTTTGTTATAATATTTTTATTTTTTATACATGTATATACATTTTATGTTATATTTCTTCTGTTAATTTTGTATTTAAATTTGTTCCATTGTATTTATATTCAAATTTATATATTTTAGAATACATTTATTTTTCTCTTTTAACCTGAGGATGGCCAATAGATTTGGCTGAAAACGTTAGTTGCATTTTTTAATAAATTTCTTAGCAACTAAAAATGTTGTATTGTGATAGTCCAGTTCATTAGAAAGATAGAACAACAACAGTGGTTAAAAATTCTCTTTTTAAAATATGTAAAAAATTCTTTGACTTATGTATGGCAAAGAAACTATGATGTTTAAGTAAAAGGAAAAGACTAAGGATTCACAAATATAATGTGACCAAAACTAGTGATCAGGAATTCATAGTTGTTTACAAGAAAAAAAGGCATTAGGATCACAAGTTGTATGATTAACATTGCAGGACCAAAATATTGTTTGAATTTTTTTGAGAAAGTGGACAATATTCTTGAAATGACAACTATAAATTTCAGAGAGGTTATATCATCAAAAGAGGCTGATAATTCCTAATTGTATTATTAAGAGTTGTCATGTAATACAGGAACATAATATTTATACAATGTTCTATTACACATTTATTTAATTCAGTAAATGTTTCTTCAATCCGAAAAATTCTTTTTGGTAGACTACCGAAAAGAATTTTTCGGATTGAAGAAACATTTACTGAATCAACATTACAAACAGCTAAACCATCGGAAAATTCAGAACATTTATTTAGTCAATCTTTTTAACCTATACATATTTTTAAAAAAATATTTAATAAATTATAACTACATTTTTATATAAACAGTAAAAAAAAAAAAAATGATAGGGACAGATATCAGTGGAATGAAAAATCAGGTATCTACCAGGTCCTGCTAAAACATGCATTGTCAGGTGAAGAAACCAGTTACGTAGGGCCACAGCTAGAAGGTTATGTTCACGTATTCTTGAACATCAAGAAGACATCAAAAACAGCAGGCCAGTTACAGAGTTAGCAAAGAAAGTGCTTGACCACAATTACCAGCCGCTCTGGAACAAAACAAAATTACTGAAATGCTGCAATGAACATAAAGAGCTATTTGTTTGGGAGAGTCTCTATATTTCTGCTACTGAACCGTGCAACTCCCCAACTCTCGAATTACCAGAAATTTGGGTAACAGCTTTTAAACAACTGAATGCATGATGTTGAAGTCTTTGCTACTCAGATGTCTTTTTGACATATCTTATACTTTATGCATGTTCTGGGCTTTTTTACGGCCTTATTCTTCCTAAAACATGCTTAATTAAAACTGTTTTCTTTCCATGCACTATGATGCACAAAAGAATTTTTTAATTACATTCGAAAACGAAAAATCAGTTAATTTGTCGGAAATATTGTTCGATAATTTCGAAAATCTGAAATTTGTGAAACTGTCGGATTAGTGTTCGAAAATCTTAATCTGCTGTATTCAAAAGACTGCCTGAAGACGGTAGTTATATACTACTGAAAGTACTAGCGGATAAGTTCATTTTCTAAAGTCGGATGAGTTCATTCTCCAAGACTCCACTCCTGTAACGTCACAACACGTAAGTGTTATAATCATATAAAGTCTCTGTAGATTTAACTTTTATGTTGTTAAATAAAATTTTTATTTCTTCATATTAATCTTCAGATATGATGGTAGTGTTATATTTGAAGTGTAACAAACATAGAGCACATGAGGAAATTGTCCACAACATTAAGAATTAAAAAAAAAATGCTACAACTATGCTACCCTATTCTGATATCAGACCGGTCTTTTTTGTCCAGCCACAGTAATGTCTGAAGTTTATTTGCTTGTGTTGACATAGCATATAACCACAAGCAAAAAAATCTGAAAATAAATCCAAAGAAATAAAAATTTTATTTAACAACATAAGAGTTAAATCTACAAGACTTCATTTTTTGCTAAACAGAAAATGACATAAAACAAGAGATTAAAAATGTGATAAGTTTTAAACACGAGGAATAATAATAGTAATAATAATGCAAATGATATGGTAAAATAAAATAATTTTGTTATACATAAAAAAAATAAAAATTGGTAAGGTTGGAATCTATATCATGTAGTTCTTGGTCTAGTATTTTATCCACTCAGCTATTGAAATTACAAGGAGAAAGAGAATTTCCAAAGACTTATAAGCTAAACATGCAATTTTCAGAGGCCTGTTTTTCAGAAACACTTGAGAAGTGGGTCCTATTATTTGGACAAGGAGTTGTTTGTGTTTAGTGCCACATGCTCACCAAGTTTCATTCAAACCAAAGACCCAAACATCTGGCTTTTTCCTTGTAAGATTTCCTCCACAATTGGTAGATGAATTAAACAGGACTGTTTGAATAGATGCCTGTCAGCCTAATCAATATGCTGATTTAACTGGAGAATGGCTAGACAGAGGAACCAAACATATATAGCTCCATTTCAAAACACATGCAAAGTGTTTTGCCAGGTTTCTAGACACCCACTATCCATCAAGCAAACCAATGGCTGTGTGGCTGTACTCTTATGCATAGACTTATGTCTTAATATTTGGGAAAGATAAAAATATCCCAAATGCATCTGACTGAATACTTCCAAGAATATTGTTTATATTTTTAGACAAAGGCTTGTGCAGGAGTATGCCAATGTTGATATGGCACCATGCCTAAACTTCCTTCAGATTTTACATATTCTTTTATTGTTTTCTTTTTCCTCCATTTGGTGTGCAAAATATGAATTAATTACAATATTTATAATAAATAAAGATTTTTCTTTCAAAATTGTTAAAAATAGAATTTAGTTTACAGCATAATTTCTGAATTTACTTCATTATAATTTCTTTTAAAGCCAAATTTTATTCAAGAAATATTAAATTTTCTTTAAACAAAAAGTATAAAGATAAAATAATTATTGTTTGCATAAGTTTTTAATTAAAATATACATACCTCTTTAGCACCTACAAGTTCTGCTAATTCTGGAGATAGCAATAGCTTTTTAGTATATGAATTTTCTAAAAGAAAAATTTCAAAAATTATATTCAACAACAAGAGAAGAATATTGCTTATAATAAGATAATAAATTAAAATTCACTAAATTACACTATCTGAATGCCAAAATATATTAAAATGGCAATGACTCAATATAATTTAAATTGCAATCTGAATCAATTCAACTTAGCAACTCAACCAATCAGGTAGATTATACTAATGATTCTGTAATAATTATATGATAATGATATTGAAAAAAGCCTATTATCTTGAAAACATACAATGATGATATAATAAATTAATAATTTTATTCTATTTTTAAGTTAGAAACAGGTACCAAATCTAAATTCAAAATTGTTTGCATCTGGATGACAACTGTTTAATAATACATTAAAAAAAAAAAAAGCCAAAATTATCTTAGAACAGTTTAAAATTAGACAAATTTATCATCAACATAATACTAATACTTATTAATATTTTTGATGTTTTAATGCTGTAAATTATATAACATTGGTGCTGACTAAGACTTTTCCATTTACAGTAGAGTCTAATTCACCAAGTTCTGCATTATTTAAAGAATTTCAGAAGAGTACTTTATCAATAGCAGAGTCAATAGTTATACTGGTCCTTGCACTATGCTCTCAAGTACAGTTAATGTGTCAGGTTGCCAATAGCTGGCATTAGAGTCCCTCTACAGCGAGAAGTTGGTTTATCTATTTGATTAGTAGGTAGCTTCATTGTTTTCAAGCATTTTGTAACTTTTTCCTACTGTTCTGTCAAAAAAATCTTATTTATAAAATTTAAAAAATGTAATTACATCATATATACACAAAGAAAAAGTATTTGGTAACAAAAACATTTAATAAGATGATAATTTGAAATTATAGATGAGGATGTGGATAAATTAAAAATAATTTTATTTTTGATTTAATTTATCCAGGTTTTAAATAGAGATCTGTTTAAAACTGTTATATTGCTACATATTCTGAAAGAAAGTTTTGTACATAATGTTCTGAGTATAACATATCTGTTATATATTGTGGTAATGAACAGGTAACAGTAAAATAAATAAATAAATTTGCATTTTAGTGTTTTATTTTATTACATAAGTATGACAATATAATTAGGAAAACGATAGCTTATCCTCTGATACATTTAACCATAGAAATTTAAAGAATAGTTTATCTTTATCTGGATCAAATAATTTATTGACTTTAACACTACATAAAGTATGCTATACAATTTTACTTGATTCAGTGTAGTGAGAAATAGTATTTGGGATGAAATAGTTGTTTTATATTTTTTACATGAGAAATTACATTTCTTATGACACTCACATTGGCTCTACATATTTTTGGAAATTTATATATTCTGCACTATGAATACAGTAGAGCATCATTTATCTGAATCAATTGGGAACTGGGGTTGTTCAGATAGCTTATTTTTTGGATAACTGATTATGTACGAAAAAATATATTAATTTATCCCATGTTGAAATTTTTCTCCATTGCATGTTGCTTCGCATTGAATTTTCGTCAATGTTAAGCCTAATGTAAACTTTTTAAAATAATAATTGTGGCTATTGTATCGTTAAAAATTATTTCTTTATTTTTTACAAACAAAATAAATATATTGAAAAATATAAAAACAAAAAAAAAATTATTCTTTAGAAGTTAATCTAGTATCAAAAACGTTTGATTCAGCATGACATACAGTCCTCAGAAAAACACCACACAAAAGTGCCAGTGCTGCCAGCTAAAACACACACATTAACAAAAAAATGTTGGAGTAGCCCAAGATATAGCCAAAAATTGCAGCGCCACAGCACTAGCGAAAATTTAAATTTGCCAACTGGAATTCTTTCGGATAACTGACATTTCAGATAACCGACATTCGGATAAACAATGCTCTACTGTAGTAGAATATGAATGAAGATTTATTGATGGCCCACTACACCTGTCCTTTGTATATATAGGCCTAAAACAACACTAAAATGTCTTTCTTTTAGCCTCCATGTCATCACTAATTATTATCACTGTCAATATCTAATAACACTGTCTGAACTCTTGCCATTATACATTTACCTGTTTTATCTGTCAACCTCTAACTCAGGCATGGCCAACATATGGCCCGTGGGCCAGATCTGGCCTGTCTAATAAATTTATGTGGCCCGCGATCAATTTTTCAAAATAGGTCAATGAAAAATTCTGACACCTAAAAAAGAAAAAAAAAATTAACAACTCACTGTGTACAAATCTCTTAAGTACAGCATAGAGTGTTGATAAAGCATGATAATGTGAGAAATGTATCTGTAATCTCTATCTACAATTCAGTCTCTACAAGGGTGACACCACAATGAGATCTCGCACCACCTCAAAATGTTCCTAGGGCAATTTCTGGTTCGGCCCGTAGAAAAAGTTTTCTTCCCAATCGGGCCCAGGGGACAAAAACTGTTGTCCACCCCTGCTCTAACTCATCATCTGCTAATTACCTCTAAGTTATTATGTGTCTGTAAATATGTTAAATATGTCTAAATAGTTGGAATTTCCTCTTTTTTCTGTAACAGCCTATATTTGAAATCCAAGAACTAAATCTACTAACTTTTAATCCCCTTCTCTAACCTGTTCTTACTTTTTTTGCTCAACTTTAATCTCTGTCTCTCTCATTAATATACACAATTGAAATTGTGAACAACATATATCATAGCTCTTTTCTCACTACAAACTACAATAACTTACCTAATATTAATAAAAAAAAACATGGGTTTAACCTTTGTAAACTCCAAAGCCACCCTAAATCCTAAATCTCTTTTTGTAACACTAAATCTATCCTTCCTTAACACATGATTTAACATTTCTATACATTTCCATAATTAGATTATATAATTCTCATCATTCCCCTTTCTTCCTCATTCAGTGTTCTCAGGAATCTTGAAGACATCCCATATTAATAATGTATATACAGGCTTAACTATAAATTTTTTGACTACACTTTCTTGCCCTTAATGAAAACTCCCTAAAATATTTAAAAATGAACACAAATTGTAAGCAAAAAACAAACAGTCTAATCAATTTAAAGTCTAAAATCGTGAAAGTGACAGTTAATAGAAATATAAATATTAATGACATTTACTGATAAATAATGTTCAAAACTGGATTAAAATAGTATTTATAAGCAGTCCTATAAAAAAGACAAAAGAAATTTCTGAGTTAAAAACAAGAAAATTTTATATATTAAAAGAATTTTGAATGTTTACAGTTGATTCTCCCTATGCTCAAGCCAAACTTATGCTGTGAAGCAATTGAAGCGCTTGAAGTGGCAGAAATATTTATTATGCCAGTATTGTAGCATTAGAGCTATTGGCATAACAAAGACCAGTATATCTATCGACTCTATCAATATATACAGTAACTTGCACTAATAGAGGGTGAAGGTTATTCATGTTTACAAAAGTCTGAGTTAGTGTGGTGTTTTCTCTGATGACATAAAAAACAAGAAAGAAGATATACAATACAGTACAATGACACTCCATTAACCCAGCAATGCTGGGACTGATGTGATGCCGAGTTATCAAATATGCTGCCTTATCAGACGATGGGAGTTTTTCCAGTCCTCTGGACACAATTTTGCTTTTACATATCTTTGCATGTTAAACTGTATGCATATCTTTGCATGTTGAACAAGAATCTCATGATTTCTTCAAATGGCCAAGGAAATGCTTTCTCAAGACAAATCATTCTTAAAATGCATCATTATGAGTGATAAAGCGTGGATCTACACTTTGACACCAAAATAGCTTGTAATCAAGCAAATGGTGCTTGAAAGGTGAAGCAAGATTGAAAAGATCAAGTCAAAGTGAGTCTTGAATCTCGAACATCTTGACTGTTTTCTTCAATTATTTCTTCAAAGTATTTCTTCAAAATGAACATCTTGTTGACTGTTTTCTTCAATTATTGTGGTGTTGTGTGTCATGAATTCCTTTCAACTGGCCAAATTGCTAACAAAGAATACTATTTGAGCATTTTGCATGAAGCAGTTTGTGGCATGTAAATCCATGGATTTTGCACTACAATAGTGCACTGCTCACAATACTCTTGTTGTTTGTGAATTTTTGGCAAAAATTCAAAAACATGGTTCCACAAGTTCCATATTCACCTGATAAGGCACTATGTAACTTTTTTCTTGTTTCCTCGACAAATTTCTGCTTCGTGGTTATCATTTTGAGTTGTTCAATGCCATAAAACAAAATTTGCTGCAAGTTCTGAAGGGGTGTTTCATGAAAACGAAATAATGATGTTTTAAAGAATGATGTTTTGAGGATTGAAAAAAATGTTGCCGTTAGAGCATTTCAGTGGGAGGAGATAACTTTAAAGGGGTCAAAATGAATTTTTATGAATAAATTCAATTTTGCATTTGTTTCGAACCATTCCCAATACTTTTTGATCACAGATGCAAAGATTTTTGGCCCCATTCAATAGAACCTGAAGCAGGCCACTAAAGATTTGCATTGCAAGCCAGATAATCTAAATGTTTTGGAATTTTCTTCAAATTCGTTTTGCTATATCATCTGTTTCAAACATCTTACAGAGAATTAAACATTTCTTAGTCCAATATTAGTCCATTAGTTCTCTTAGTCCAAATGCCCACACTAATCACACTACATTTTACACACTTTTCCAGCATCTTAGAACTCAGTTCTTTTCTCTAATTTGTATTTTAATATGTTTTTAACCTTTGAATGGGGTCAAAAGTGTTTGTTTTGATTAAACTATTGCTGGAAAGGTGTATAAGGTTAGTATGATTGGTATACAGGTATGTCTCCTCCTACAACGCGGTAGATACGTTCCTTGAAAATACTACGTTATAGGAGACACCAACTTAATACAAAAACTGGGATTCGGTTCTAAAAAGAGAAAAACTGCCTTTTATTGTGTAACATTTTCATCATTTTTTAAATTTGTGTACATAAAAACATTTCATAAAAAACTTAAATAAAATTCCACATCATATAAAAACTAAAAAGATTATGATTTCAAGTCAAAATCAAAAAGAAACACTGTTATGTTCACAAATTTAGTCCTCATCGTCACCTATTATAGTTATTTAAGAACATTTGACTGGCCTTATTTCAAGATCTGATCTTGTTTCATCGACAGGTTCCACTGCACTTCCGGTAGGTTTAGATTTTAAAAAATCTGTCATTAGAGATTGTTTGCTCTTGCTTTGCAAATTGATTCTGCATTGATTCTGCATTTCAGATTAGACATGCTATTGAAAAGAATATCGTATTTGTTCAGTCTTATGCAAATTAAAAATAGTGAAGACAACTTTATTCATATTCTGCAAGAATATGATATTGTGGCGAAACGCCATATTATTGTATACGCGCTAGCCGTAACTCTAGTGTTTAAGATTTTTCTTTGTGTTCTTTGTCTTCTCTTTTCTGGATTTTTCCATCCTTCACTTCCTGTTCGTTGGAGGGGGCAACACCGTTACGAGAACGAGGCCAGGAAGGGAGTGTAGGCCCCGAGGTAAACGGGGGGACTCATTCTCGAAGTAGACGAGGAAGCGAGCAGACGGACATCTCGGACAAGATTCATTCAGGGAGAAGAGAAGGACAGTGGCTGATTGATCCATCGAGGGAAGAACAGGGAAGATTCCGACCAAGAATTGTTTGCATCGTCGAACTGAATTACAGTTTCCCTCTCCAACAGGAAGATATCACATCCAATTATTTCAGGTACCCTTTTCTCTAACCTTTCTATACGTTTCCTTACCTGTGCTATACTATCATCCTTCCGTAATTTAATCTTAGCTTGTAAGATAGTTATAACCTTAGTAATCAAGTTGGTAGCTGTGCTCTATTGTCGCGAACCTGCCTTCGATGTGTAACACCACGTGTGTAAGGCCTTTGTTTCCCGTTATACACGTGTGAGGTCGAGTAGGGATTCGATTTACTTTATTTCACTATTACCTCACAAACTTTAGTGGGAGCTTATGTAATTTTCTTTTGTCCACGAATAAATTCTGTATTTTCCCATATTTTCGTTTTTATTGTCCTTTCGGGGCTCCGTACACATTCAATATCTTAACAATATATCACATTCCCAACATTTTTTCAAAGAAGGTAATAAAATGTAGTTATGCTAAGTGTGTTGAAAGCATGTTGAAATTGTGACAAATCAATTTTTAGATGCACTTTTTGTGTCTGGATTAACACATGGATGCACAGATCAAAGGTTAGTTTCATCATTCCTTTTACATCAGAGTTTTGCAGAATTGAGAACTGTCATCTAAGTTTTGCCAGCAACTTTTAAATGTGAATTGTTATTTTGAATGAAAGAAAGTAAATAACAATATTTTAATTTGCCATTCAATTAGTAATAAGTAAATGTTTTAATGTAACAAAATTAGCAAAATATACTTAATTGTAAGATTTTAAAAAATTTGTTTTGTTTATTTCAAATGAAATTTGATTTTGAATAGCATTCTTTCTGATACTGGTGCAAAATAGCACTATGCAACATAATGGGGTATAACAGAAAAATACAGTTATTCCTTTAAAACAGTTTATTTGATGTATTAAACTTTATTAACAAAATAGAAGAAAAATTGTATATATATACCTTTCTTTGGTTTGTTCTTTTTTTCCTTCTTTGATGACTTCCATAATTTTGAAAAAGAAAAGTTTATATCTTAAAACATTTTCAAAAATATAAATATACATAATTTTATTTATGTATTATTATTTAAAGTTATATAACTGTAAGTAATAATAAAGTTCAAGAAATATTCAATAACTTATAAGAGCTTTTGTGGCGTTTTCCACTATATATAAAAGAAATATGATATAAATCAGCATTGCATGTATGTCATTTCAAGACAATTAAGATGTTTGGCAAGTTTTAAAATATATCTTACATAATTAAGTTAGAAAGGAATTCAAAATGTTATACTTCAAATACTTTTTACAAGTTGAAAGTATCTACATTTCAGAATCAATAATTTAATTAAAATGTAAGTTTTAACTGATAAACAATCTCAATGTAAAATCATTAAAATTTGTAATTTTCAAATACAGTGAATCCTCCATTAATGGACATCTACTTAATGAATATTTTTACAATCTCCAGACCATCCATTATATTTATCTCTGAATAGCAAATACTGTTGTCCATAATTAACCTTATGAAAATACAATGTATCACTTTCAATATTCTGAAAGAATTAATTACAAACAAAGTATAGGGCTAATTAACTCATCAAAACTCCACACTCAAGATCAATGCTGCAGTGGGGCATTCACTTTGCCAAGGGACATGTCAAGGGAAATTACACATATCTAGACTTATATACATTTACTAGTGATTTTGAAAGATTATTATAAATTCCTTTTAAATGTTTATAAATAAATGGGTTAAACCCTCAAAGGAGACTCATTTCAATGCCCACACTCCTACATACATACCCATACCACTCATCCACCCTAATTGGAGAATGAATAATCACACTCCCCCATCAGCATCCCACAATAAAATGAAACAATGCTTTACCAATGAAATCAATCTTTAAAAAGATTGATAATTGTAAGCTTCATCAAAAAAGTGGACAAATTTTGAAGGTGATGGCCATTGTTTTCAACAAGTTAACTGTCTGTTCAAAGAGCTCTGAGTATGGAGTGAATCAAGAAGAGAGTGTGCTTCAAGTACGAGATTAGTCTAAATGGAGATTGTGTGATTTGGCCAGATGTAGCAATTGTGTCTTGAGCATAGTAGGATGTTGCTATCTTTGATCAGCAGTGGGATAGAGTACATTCCTTGTGAAATCAATATGCCTAATGTAACCCAAGTGAGATCAGTCAAACACTTTTGAGTAGAAAGTATATGATAGTAGAAAGTATATGACAGAAAGTAGGAGGCCAGTTCCAAACTTTGCAAAATAATTCAGAACAAGCTCTGGAAATTTGATTGAGGATTTCAAGTATCTTTTTAAATGTGTAAAAGCAAAAGTTTGAAAGGCAGCAGATCATGGAGTAGATTTAATTTTGTAAAATTAAAGAAAACATATTTTAAATGCATTATTCTTTTTACTATTTTGTAATCCCACAACTTATAGCATAAATTCAATTTTTTTATATATTGGCATCTCTAGATCCAATCAATGCCCAATGATTGCCATAATGCATCATGCTATATTTTTTATTTGGTATTGATTAATAATGTCAGGTTTTGAGATGTTTATATATATATATATATATATAGATCCAATTTATTAGTAAAACCAAAGGACTGTAATTCCTTATCAGTGGCACAGAAGTCATTTTTTGACAACCCACAAAAAAAATTCAACAGGATGCCCTTAATCCATAAATTTGTATGGAAGATAATATTTTAAATATCATGTTCAGAGCTAGCTTGTAAATCCTAACATTTATAGTCCCTTGTCACCATCATGTTGTTCCATCTTTTAAATTTTGAATTTTAATATATTCCAGCATCTGCCAGCATTCTGATTTAGAACATTCAACTTGTGAAATTCTGACAGACCTGAGAAGGCTTATAAAGAAAATCAAAACATTTTTCTAACACAAAGAATATTCGTGTTAGAAAAGTACTGAAGAGTTGTTATTTCATATTTTTATTCTGTATTTTTTAGTTTATATACTCTTAAGTCCACAGGAATCATTGTTGAGAGTATTTTAAAAAAAGGGCTCTTTGGGGATGGCTGCAAAAAGACTCTCCAAACTTTCTTTTCAAGTCTAATCCACCTCTTAATTTTTTTTAGAGTGAATTCCTTAACAGATTCACCAGAATCTTTGGCTAAACTCTTCTCATCAATATACTCTACATATTTTAAATCAACATTATCTATTAATTGTATCAATTCATATCATTCAAATATTTTCTCATTAATTAATTCAGTTAAGTTTAACTTAACTGAAATAATGTAAGATTCAGTTCTGGCTTCTGATTCAACTGCAAAATCCAGTTCTGGTCAGACCTCACCTATCTGTCAAAAATGTAACAATACAGTAGAGCCTCAAAAACTCGGCCTAATGTGGACCGAAGGGTGGCTGAGTTTGTGAAAATGCCGGGTTATCGGGAATGGCGTTAAAAAAATAAGTACGAGTGTGGAGTCCTCAGAAAATACTATACCGTACTTGTACGTATTGTTTGCTTGAGAATACAACAAAGAATAAACTGCCCAAATATCCTTAAACAAAGGAAAAGTATGTCTTTTATGAAGGCATAGAACAGAGCCTTTACTACATGAAAATGAAAATTAATGAATACACTGTGTACAGTAATTTACCTGATAAGACAGACCTCAGAAAAATACTTTATGAAGCATAAAGCTGTCTTTATCATGAAAATTAATTAACTAAGGATTTTTTTGCCCTGCCAGGGTGTGGCCGAGTTATCCGGAGTGCTGTGTTATCGAGTGCCAAGTTTTCGAGGCTCTACTGTACCAGATCGAATACCAGAGTACAAAAAATACTTATATCAATGTAGTCCAGTATTGGCAGTATTGAGATGTCAATACTAACATTGGAAAACTGATGAATAGTTACTAGACTTTATATAATTGCTGTTGGCCACTTTTTATAAGTATTTCATTTACTAAAGAGGATGAGAAAGATGCATAGATTCCTTTTTTAAATTTGCTTGTACACAAAGCCCCAATGTGTTTTTTCTGTGTTTCATAAATTTGATGCACCACCATACATCATCCCTTCTATGTCTTTCCAATCCCCAGATACAAAAATTTGGCTATTATTGTACTCATATACAGGGCTTTCTTATATCCTTCCACCTAATTGCTTGTAAATAAGGAGATTTTCTTTGTTAAATTAGCATTTTCCAGTTCTGGATATTCTCTGGCCAAGTTTAACCGTCTGGTCAACATTTCATTATGTATTTGCTGATTTTCAAAAAATTGGTTATAAATTGCCACTAGTGCCCCATCCACATTGCATAGGATCATTTGCAATGATCCTATGCAATGATGCTGCCTCTTAGCTAATATATATTAGGGCAACTGCTAGAATTCTCTGCCTCCATCTTGTGGAACATCTATATTGGCATAAGCTGGAACTAGACAGTAACTAGAGACATATAAAATACCTTATGTATTTTTCCAGCAAAATACTCTTTAATCAAACTAACGTTTTCGGATTTATTAATAAGCCATCAATTTTTTTGAAAAAAGATTCAATTTGGAACAATATTTAGAACTCCATTAATTTTAGAACAACTTTACATTTATGTTATTTTAGAAAAATATTACATTTTCTTTAAAAAATATAAATAGGGTTGTTGATTAAGTTACAAATAAAATAAAATATAAATTTAAAAAATAATAATATATTCTTAATTGTTCATTTTTTAGTATAAGCAAATAAAATGAAATTGTTTGAAGTGCTATGATAATGTCATATTTTGAACTGTTATGATTTTTGCTGTCTTTCATTTCCAAGGGGGTTATCAAATAGTGATATCCATGCATAGGATAGCAATTCATGGTCTCTGCTGTTAATGTTGATATAAATCATATTTATGCTCATTGATTCTGCATGTTAATGATCTATTAATCGAGCTGATGTATTTTAGATGCCTATCAAATCTAACATCATATATAGGGATAGAGTACATCCCAGGGACTGTATTTGGGTCAACATAATTCTTGCCATTACTTATAATCTGTATATCGTTGTCCTCCATTTGTATGCTATAGGAGCTCCTATATATATTTAACAATTAATGTATATACGGGTTTAGCCTACTATCATAATCTAATACTGTGTGTTTACTTTCCGTGCTTTTGGTTGCATCCTATGTTTTTGTCCAGATTGTGTGCTATGTTGAAAATAAGTTTTTTACTGTACCCATGTTTGATTGCAAAATTTTCCACATGTCCTAGCTCTTCTAAGGTGTCATTAATGATGGAGCAGTATGTATATACTCATTTTACTAATGCTCTGAATGTGGCTAATTTATAAGTATCTGGGTTGTTAGAGATAGATGGTATGTAATGTGTGTGGCAATGTGCATGATTTGGACTGAGAGATGGTGCAGGAATAAACAGAAAAGAGTGAACTTCAAACTGGACACACACTTTTGGACCAATGGCTACCAAGAACGGACGTCAGAATGAGCAATTAATGCAAACAAAACAAACTGGACCTTCGATCGATACTGAACTGTAAAAACATTGTACATATGTATTTCCGAGACCGTGTCTTCCTTTATTTGTTTTTCTTCACTACTAGGTATAGACACAAGGCATTTTACATCATCTTTATTAATCTTCCATAGGCAGATTATGTATTTTGGGCAAGGCCCCTCATCCGTTGGCTACACTATAAAACATATTATAAATTTTTTACTTTGATGCAGTTGCCGTTTCAATTTATTCAATTTGGCTATAGTTATGTATTTCCGAGACCTTAATGAGGGCCTTGCCCGAAAGACATATCTGCCTATGGAAGATTAATAAAGATGATGTAAAATGCCTTGTCTATTTATGCACCTAGTAGCGAAGAAAAAAAACATTGTACATACATTGTAAATAAAAATATAAAAAACATGACTGGACGTTTTCTCATCATCTTTGAATCATTCTCAATTGGTGACCGAACATCAAGACTGATGACCCTAAAACAAAGA